AACGAAGGGATCAACGAATGAATACACGTTCAGAACTTTAATAAATAAACCTTTTGTAACGTAAAGAACGAATAATCAGTTTCGTAAGTTATATCTATATGTCGTATCCGGGCATGAGTACGGTCGCTAAACGGAACGCAAGCGCGCCCCTAGCGGTGAAATCACGCAACTACGGGGCCGGTGCGCTTCGACAGAGTCGTGAGGCGACACTTTTTTGGTGGACGCGACAAGTGAAGACGCGTCACGGAACTGTCCTTCGTTTCGTCAGTGTTACCATACTGTGTTGATTTGTTGATTTGTACTCTTCTCTCATTGCGCGATACCTACGTCTGCCCACATTATGTCCGAGGACACCGGCCGAAAACCCACTGATACTACATCAGAAGTGGGATCTAACCGTGCAATTGAGACTAGTAACAATGAACAATGGCGGCTACTTTTCCAAATGCAAAATGAACAAATGCGCGAGCTTATCAAAGCATTGAAAACTCCAAGTGTAAATAACAAAGTGGTATTGCCGGAATTCGACCCCGATAAGTACAATTGTGATGCGCGATTGTGGTGTTCAACAGCCGATTTAGTTTTTGAAGAAAATGCTGTACAAGGTGGCCAGCTCGTTGTGATCCTCAGCAAGGCATTGAAAGGTTCAGCATCATCATGGCTATCGGAAATTACTTATCCAGGTATGACATGGACGCAATTCAAAGAATTATTTACGGCAAGATTTGTCAGTGTTGAAACATTTGCGGCGACCCTCATGAATTTAAGTAATGATAAACCTAAAGAAGATGAGACCTATGCCGCCTATGCTAGTCGTCTGATTACGTTATTGCTTAGCCGGTGGAAAAATACGAGCATTGAGCAAATAGCGGTATCGACAGTTACAGCACACTTGGCACGCATTGATACTCGCTTGCAACGACTTGCCTTTACTACGGAGATTAATACACGTCACCAGCTACAGCAAGAACTCCAAGCTTTCTCATACTTGAAACGTAAGGCTTCCATTGATAACCGGACAGATGACACGAAAGAAAAACGCCCAAAGTTTTCATCGCAATCACAGATCAAGTGCTATACCTGCGGCAAGCTGGGGCATAGACAAGCGGATTGTAGGACGAAGAAGATTGAGGCAAAGAAATCTGCAACTGCAACAACAGCTACGACTACTTCTCAACACCAGCAACCCAACAACAGCTACATCGTTTGCTACAAATGCGGTACAAAGGGGCACATCGCCAGCCGCTGCACAGCTGACGGGGCCAGTGTTGCAGCCCAGGTGGAGAAGCGTGTCGACCTGTGCCTGGTGGAGCCTCCGTCCGGAATATTAAACCACTTTGGTGAGTGTTTTAAATTTGACTTTGATTCAGGAGCGGAATGCTCGTTAATGAAAGAGAGTATTTCCAGTAAATTTAGAGGCAAACGAATTAATAATTTGATTTCATTAGTTGGTATTGGCAACAAAAAAGTAAACTGTACTTTGCAAATATTGTGTCAGGTAGAAATTAATAATTTAGCCATTGAGATTTTATTCCATATCTTGCCAGATGTTTGTTTACGTAGTAACATTTTGATAGGCAGGGAGATTTTACACAATGCCTTTCGTGTAAACATGAGTGCAACAAAGTTTAGTTTAACGAGAGATAAGACTGTGAATGCCTGTAGTTCATCGGATGTTTGTGTACCTACCGAAAATTTTAATAGTATTGATACGGATATTCCAGCCGATAGACATGATGAGCTCTTGAATATTTTAAAACAATATTCTGAATACTTTATCAACGGTTTTCCAACAACCCGCGTCAATACTGGCGAGTTAGTTATTAGACTGATAGATCCTAACCGTACCGTGCAAAGACGACCCCTATAGGTTGTCGCCAGAGGAACGTCAGATTATGCGGGACAGGGTTGACGAATTGTTACGAGCAAATATTATTAGGCCTAGTAATTCCCCTTTTGCCAGCCCTGCTCTGTTAGTTAAAAAACATGATGGATCAGACCGCATGTGCATAGATTACAGAGAGTTGAACATGAACACTATACCGGACCGTTATCCATTACCGTTAATTTCTGATCAGATTTCGCGGCTCCATGGTGCCAATTTCTTCACTAAACTTGATTGTGCAAGTGGATTTCATTTGATTCCTGTCCAAGCCGAGTCAATTGAGCGTACTGCTTTTGTGACGAACGATTCTCAGTATGAGTTCCTGTCTATGCCGTTTGGACTCCGTAACGCAATATCTGTCTTCCAGCGGGCGATCATAAACGCCCTGGGTGAACTTTCTAACCAGTATGTGATAGTATACGTTGATGACATTTTAATAATTAGTGACTCGATTTCTCAGGGATTAGATAGGTTACAGGTCGTGCTTGACAAACTTACAAAGGCAGGGTTTTCGCTGAACCTTAAGAAATGTTCCTTTCTTAAAATGCGAGTAGAATTTTTAGGTTATGAGGTAGAAGAAGCGGGTGAGATCAAACCTAATAAGCGTAAAATAGAAGCTCTGTTGTCTTTACCTTCACCTACATCAATCACTCAGGTTAGACAATTTGTAGGATTGGCATCTTACTTTAGGCAGTTCGTACCAAACTTTTCTCGTTTAATGGGCCCAATTTACAAACTAACCTCGGGTAAATGTCCTTTCGATTGGACGCCAAAATGTGAGGAAGTGCGAAAGAAGGTAGTAGACATACTGACCAATGAGCCAGTACTTATGATTTTTGATCCCCAGTATCCTGCAGAACTACATACAGACGCAAGCGCCGATGGATACGGAGCTATATTATTACAGATTGTTGATGGTAAGCGAAGACCAGTGGCCTATTATAGCAAAACGCACGACGTCGGCTGAGTCCAGATACCACTCGTACGAGTTGGAGACACTCGCCGTCGTCAATGCGGTAAGACACTTTAGGCAATATCTGCATGGTTTGAAATTCACAGTCCTAACCGACTGTAATTCTCTGAAGATGTCCCGCACCAAAATTGATTTGGCGCCGAGGGTTCATCGCTGGTGGACCTTTTTGCAGTCTTTTGATTTTGACATCAAATATAGAGTAGGCAAGCAAATGGCGCATGCTGATTTCTTTTCTCGTAACCTGTTGCCACCTGGCTCAACAAAACCACGCATTAAGAAATTGGAACAGAAATGTGTGAACGTGGCGGAACTTTCTGATAATTGGCTTCTAGCAGAGCAGCAGAGAGACGAAGGTATTAAGAAGATTATTTCTGACCTAGACCTAGGACAGCTCAATGACGACGTCGCTAAAACATATGAGGTAAGATCCGGCATACTTTATCGAAAAGTACAACGAAATGGCAGAACGAAATGTTTACCCATGGTTCCTCGAGCTATGCGCGATGGTCAGTCGTTAACAACTTCCATGATTCTCTAGTCCACCTTGGATGGAATAAAACATTGGAGAAGCTATATGATCATTACTGGTTCGAGAGTATGAGTCGATATGTAAGAAAGTTTGTGGACAACTGTGTGACCTGCAAAGTAGCAAAACCCCATTCTGGTAAGATACATGCCGAGCTGCATCCTATACCGAAAGCCGCAATACCATGGCATACAGTACACATCGATGCGACCGGAAAATTGAGCGGAAAGAGCGACAGCAAAGAATACGTTTTCGTTATGATTGATGCGTTCACCAAGTATGTATTGCTTTTTCATACTAAAAATATAGACACCAAGTGCAGCATCAAGGCAGTGAAGGATAGCGTAGCATTATTTGGCGCTCCTGTACGCATCATCGCAGATCAGGGTCGCTGTTTTGCTAGTAAGGAGTTCCAAGACTTCTGTGATAGTAAGCATATCAAACTACACCTTATTGCTACAGGGACAAGTCGCGCTAATGGACAGGTTGAGCGCATAATGAGTGTGTTAAAATCTATGTTAACGGCAGTAGAAACTAGCAAGGATAGGTCGTGGCAGGACGCCCTTGGTGACGTGCAACTTGCTTTAAATTGTACTGTCAATCGTGTCACAAAATCTAGTCCATTAGAGCTTTTAATAGGGAAGGTAGCTCGTCCACTGGATTTGATTGTCAATGATAACGAGGACGTCATAGATCTTATTAAAATTAGGCAATCTGCGTCTGAAGGCATACAGGCATCCGCAGGTTACAACAAAGCACGTTTTGATATGAATAAAGCGGTAGTGAATAGATTCTCGGTTGGCGAATACGTTTTAATTGAGAATGAGGAACGTAACCAAACCAAGTTAGATGTAAAGTTTAGGGGTCCGTTCCAAATTACAGAAGTTCTTGATGGAGACCGATATGTTTTGAGGTCATTGGTTAATAAGCGTACCTATAAGTATGCTCACGATCGTATTAGGAAGATGCCTGAGGGCCACGTACCTATTGAGGTTGTAGAGGAAGATGATATAGATGACGATAAAGCGTCAAGTTAATTACTTTATCTGGTGATCGATTCGGGGGTCGGAGACTGTACCAGTATATCGTAGCCGTAGCCTGGTAGAAATCGGGGTCATCTCGTTGAGATGTCCGTGGGTAAGCGGTAGGCGGTAGTACTGGGTAGTACAGTCGGATCTTGCCATGTAGCATAGATCATAGAGTCATAGTGTGACTCGGGATTCCCGCGGGGAAGTCCACAGAAAAGAGTTGAAACTATTATGATAGTTATGGACCACGAATGCGATACCAGTTTGCGATAGCAGTAAATTTAAAATCTGTTAAAATTATCTTTTGAAAATTTTAAATGTGATTCAATAGTACGGGGTCTTGGTAGTCTTCGGAACAAGATCTGAAATGGTTTGATTGCAATTTGTGTGTCTAGTTTAATCTGATTTAAAATGTATAGTGATAGTAAAAAAAATTGTCCGCTAATATTTGAGTGATTAATTAACCATCTAAAGTAGATCACAACTATTATTTCTAGCAGAAAATTTTTAGGAAATAGGATGGCCGAACGGAAATTGTGCTGGAGTTTCCTTTTTCAGATTAACACACGAGGGCGTGTGTCATGCAGGATGGCCGTGTCGTATCCGGGCATGAGTACGGTCGCTAAACGGAACGCAAGCGCGCCCCTAGCGGTGAAATCACGCAACTACGGGGCCGGTGCGCTTCGACAGAGTCGTGAGGCGACACTTTTTTGGTGGACGCCGACAAGTGAAGACGCGTCACGGAACTGTCCTTCGTTTCGTCAGTGTTACCATACTGTGTTGATTTGTTGATTTGTACTCTTCTCTCATTGCGCGATACCTACGTCTGCCCACATTATGTCCGAGGACACCGGCCGAAAACCCACTGATACTACATATATATATTTTATAGCTTTATAGTTATGTAGTTAAGTGACTTTGGACATAGGTTCTTGAAATCGTGGATCATGGGTTCGATTTCCCTCGACAAGTTTTTTATACCACATAAATTATTATCTCCGATCTAAAAACGGTTGTTTGATTAATTTTTGTTTGGAAAAAGCGTCTCCAACACGTAATAATCTTATCCTACAGAAGGCAATGTTAAAACAATATATGAATAAAAATAAATTACTTCATATTTAAGACTGTTTCAAATCTTTTTGAATTATTAAATTCGGATATTCTATTCGAAAGATATCACAAGTTTAAAAATGTTAGTATATTGTAATTTAACTATCCAAACTGCTTAGTGACTGACTTAGTACTTCGTAACATTTTTGTAAATAATATAAATGAATTATGTATAATTAATTAAAATATATACTAATAACTATATTATTAAAAATATTATTATTCATAAATACAAAAATCAAAGAAAACAAAATACTGCATAAATAAAAAATAAATAAATAATTATTATTGCATAATTTGATAAAAGATGTTATGCAATAGCTTTGCCGCGACAGTCCCCGAGTGCTACAGGTTTTTTTTTATTAAATTCATAAAAAATAAATAAATAATTATTTTTGCATAATTTGATAAAAGATGTTATGCAATAGCTTTGCCGCGACAGTCCCCGAGTGCTACAGGTTTTTTTTTTATTAAATTCTAGACATAAATAATGTTATATAAAAATGATAAATATTTAAAATCACTTGTTATTAATTATATACATTATATAATACATTTATTTGAACTTATCCCAAAAAGAGCGTGAGTTATGGGCAACTCATTTATTTTAGGCGCGATCATTCATAAATAACACGCACACAAGCCTGACTACCGCATTGTCAACAAGTTCTGATTTTTAGGGTGCTATTTTTTGGGAAAAAACGTTTGTTTTTATTTCAATAACGACTATACTACAGCGTCTGAACCTCCTGTGTAAATTTGGGCACTTCCCAAAAAATCTCCCTGTACATCTTCTTCATTTTATGTTTTTGCATAAAATTTGAACATTTTTAAAATTCTTTCGTCTCCTTTCTCAGGTCGAAAAACCATATTAAAAAACGTGAGCGGCACTTTCAACGCCGGGGAACTGACTGTTATAATAGGACAATCTGGCGCTGGCAAGAGCAGCCTCATGGACATTCTGGCTGGCTACACGTGAGTCCAATAATCATATCATACATACCTTATTACTTTTGGTACTTCGCCCACTCCAGCCGTAGCAGATCTTTCTCTGTTGTACCTTCCGTTGAATACATCTAGACCACTAACAGGTTTCTGCCGATGTCACCATCAGTTTTCAATAAGGCTGTAAAATGGAATTTCTGTATACCCTCCGTGCACAATAAAAAATATATCATACAAATTAGGTTTCTGCAGGTAGTTCAGCGCATAAAGTACGTACTGTTCCGGTGTGAAATACCGCGGCACGCTAGCAAGGAAAAAGAATTCGTAATCTTTGTTTGTTACTATTGGTACCATTCAAACAAAAGGCTGAATGTTACAGTTATAAAATTAAAAATCTAAGCGGTCTCCTTTCTACATAGATATTAGTAGACCCATGCCGCTATAATCAATTTAGCAACAATAACTGGTCTATTTGTTCCCGTCAATTGAATTAATAATTCAAGCAACACTTAATCTATACCAAACCTTTCCCACTTATTATTTAAGGAAATAATTATAAACAGTTGTACAGACTACATGGAACACTTTACTATTGTTAAAAAGAGGCTGCTGATTCAGGAACTTGACTATGTAAACAAAGGGGCCTATCAATGAAATCGAACGTCCTAGCCTAGCAATAAACGCTATGTTGTCAAAGTACACGGGAACGTTTAAACAATGTAATGCATTGTATTCATACCTATCCCGCTTGAAGTTAGACATAACATCGAATATAACCACTTAATTGTCGCATATACGCTAATATTGTTTTAAGTTTTTGCACAGTATTCACTCGATATTTAGTGTTTTTTAAATTGGATCTAAAAAAAACTGCCATATAAATGAATTAATTAGGAGCGACTACAGTAAATATTCTTGAACATACCGTCGGGCTATGACAAATTAACTCGCACCCATTTTAAAAAAAATACTGGAATGTGCCATGTGTCAGTGCTAAATACGCCACCCATCTGCTATGGCTCGAAGGCAGTCTCATCCGAACTGCATCTAGTTATCCAAACAAAAATACCTCAGTATTACAGAAAACAGACGTAAAGTAGAGATTTGTACTTTTTTATTTCGTGTGGTAAGGGAGATAACCTCTTGGAAATTCGCAATGCACATATGAATTATCTGATCATCATCGTTATATTATTTGCCGCCTTCTCCTATTTATTATACTTTTTATGTGTGAATTACTTTAATCTCATTTATTTTATTTCCAACCGGACAAACAAGGGAGATACGATCTATTTTTCCATCACAATTTTAATTTACAAAAGATAAATAAATAATCGTCAGTCCATAGTGCTGCAGGCCGTCCCACACTTCGTTTTCCTAACCGTGGTGTCCACTCTAAGACGTGTCGGTTCCAGCGACCATCAGTACGTCTAGAGACATGGCCAGCCCACTTCCACTTCAGCTTGCTAATTCTGCGCGCAATGTCGATAACTTTAGTTCTCTGGCGAATGACTTCGTTTCGTATCTTGTCTGCCAGAGAAACCCCAAGCATTGCGCGGTCCATCGCCCGCTGAGCGACCTTGAATTTGTGGACCAGGACCACGGTCAGTGTCCACGTTTCGGCTCCGTAGGTCATTACTGGTAGGACGCACTGGTTAAACACTTTGGACTTGAGGCATTGCGATATTGACGACTCAAAAAACGTGTCGACTTAAGAAAGGTGGCGGGCAGCGGATGGATGCGGGCTGCCCAGGACCGGGATAGTTGGCGCACTTTGGGGGAGGCTTACGTTCAGCAGTGGACGGCAATAGGCTGATATTGTATTGTAAATAAATAATTGCGTAAGTGTTATTTAACATCAGTTGGGTGCTAATTTTTGTATGAAAGGCCAAAAATATTTACCAAAGGAATATAAACAAGGGAACATGTAAATCGAAGTAGAGCTAACGATTGTACACATTCAACAATATACATATGAGAACCATTGTTATCAATCAGAACGGGCCACAAAATTGACACTATTGTGTACAAAACCATCAAACTAGTGTTATTTAATGGCTATAGTCGTTGTATTTCATAATTAAATAATTATTGGTATAACGCAAATCTTATTTGAAAATAGAATTATTTACATATTATATTATTTTGTACTACGAAAAAAACCAGGCTAAAAATAAAGTCATCAAATTGATTGAATTTGTATTTGTTTTTCAAGAATTTGTACATTGGAATTTAGATGTTAGGGAATCGAAGACCCTAACATCAAACCGCTCCATATTTTTTTAATTAATCATTGAATTACAATATCTTAGTCAATAAAGATATGACAAGAATCTAGAAAGAAATAGACGAATAAAATGAAGGCTCTTAAATAAGGTCAAGTCCGTGACGATGAATGCTACAAATTGTTTAAACATCGAGAGTAAAACTTTAAATTGAGATCGAGAAATCACTTAAAATAATATAATTTGTAATAATGGATTATAACTATACTCATGATATTTCTAAACGACTTTGAATGAATGTGTACCGAACGTTATTACATTCCGAACATACAAAGTATATGAAGAACAATAACCTCATACGAAATTAATCTATAGATCCGAACACATCTACTTATTTGCAACAGGCGCTTTGTTTCTGTACGTGACACTAAGCACATGGTAAGGCCAAACCCTAACAAGGAAGATTGATTATTTTATTCTATGAACGCGCACGATTCTTTGTCACAAAACTCAAACACATAAACTGTTGTAGGCCCTGGACAATAACAAGTTTCAAATTTTGCCAATTAAGACAATACAATTATATAAAATTCTATTTTGATAGATTGAAATTAAATAACTATAATGATATTAATTATTAACATTATTAATGACATAATAACATAATAACATTTGTTGACAAAAATTATGAAAAAAATATACATACGCTTCGGACTATGCTTTACTAACTCTACCTAAATCAGATTACTTGAATAAGGACAATGTATTTGTTCAGAATTTCCATAATTTTCAAGTGTTGTAATACGCGTCAGAATACGATAAACACTCCCTGTGCGCAATCAAGGGCATCAATCCCTTGACCGTTTTACTAAAGTAATAGAACAGACACATCTACAAAGATATGGGTAAGATTACTCTATACGATTAAAAAACGGTTTTATCATGAGTTGTTTGGATTGCAACAGAGTTGAAAAAACGTAATTAAGTAAACTTTAAATGATTCCCCAGAAAAATATTATTTCATTACGCTTTGTATGGCTGGCCCAAACACAAAGACCCTTTAGCACTTTATAATGACTTGTCATTATCCTAAAATGCATAACTTTAAAATATTAGCTTCTGCGTGTTATTTTAAAAAGTATCAGTAACTTATTTAATATAATCACTTATTATCCAACATTTACAACATTAAATATTCCTAAATTTCATATTATCTAATAAATCTAGTAAATAAAATCGACATTCCCGTACCAGTAATTTAGAAATAGGTATAAAATGTCTGTAAAGGAGCTCGCTCTCCTGCCTCCAAGGATTTTAGGAAAACAACCCTTAATTTTATGTTCTCACATCTAACTCTAATGTTTAATTAATTACATCGCGTTCTTTTTAGCGGATTTAAATATTTAAATTCTTAATTCAATGTGAATAACTGAACAATTAAGCGATTAAGTCCAAACCATTTGTTGGAACGATCTTAATTAAGATTTAGATTAAAAATAATTGTCGTACACGTTCGGTCCGTGTGAGGTAATGTAAATAATTAATAATTAAAATGATCATTGAAACTTCCTTTTCATCAGAAATAAAATGTTTTTAAATGATGTCATTTAAAAAACTCATAAGAGCATATAAATTACGAAAGATGAAGAAGAACGTTTTTGTTAAGGTAAAAATTATTATCAGTACTAACGTTTTTACTTTAGCAAAAGATTATTCCTTCAAAAAAATTTTTTTGTATCTTTTTCGCCTATAAATTGCATATACCAGCAAAGTAAAGAGGGAGTAAGGCATTGAAAAAAGTCTGGTAAACATAATTTTATAGGTTATGTGGTTTGTTGGTTGTTTGTTAATAACCGTAAAAGATTACCTCATCCTTCGTAATGCGTTCAACCAAGGAGTGGAACAAATTGCAGAAAAACTGAAAAAAAATCTACTTACCTTATACTCAAAAATTGTTTGCGTTTAAAAACAGATGCCTTCTTGGTAGGAGTAATTAGTTTTTTATTAGTAATAACCACCTACATGAATGTACCATCAAGTGAGGTGCTAGTCTAACACAAGTGCTAATTTGTGATTAATAAAACGAGATCTGCAGTGTTTTTTTTTCCTGCGTATTTAAAGTCAAAATAGGCTTGTTTTAAGCTCTTATCGAATGTCATAAAACTTTCACCGGTTCACTAAATTAGACCTGTCCAGAAGGCTTTTTTGCTTTTTTTTTTTTAAATCAATGGAGCCTTATATTATGGCACGCTAAAATAGTTGTTGTTACCACTCTAATCACTGCGCTATCCGCACCCACACACCCGCACACTCTGTCCGCTGGTATATCCGCCAAAGGGCAAAGTCCATGTTTACATAGAATGAATCAAATGTAAACTCGACCGACGACTCGATCAGACATTCAACGTAGAGAAACAGACATTGGCAACGTCACGCCGATAGACGTGATTATCTATTGTCCTAAGATATTGCAATATTCATTGTCTATACTAATATAATAAAGCTGAATAGTTTGTTTGTTTGATCGAGCTAATCTCTGGAACTACCATCGATTTTGGAAAAATCTTTTTGCATTCGTTTGCCCATTTCTTGGGGGTGGTTATAGGATAGGGTATATAACATCAATATGAAATCGCGCGGAACTACAGCTAGTCATTGATATTTGTAGCAAAATATCGTCAACTTGATTTGCGAGATTTTTCTCTCTATCCTTCTTTCATCCGTCCTTATCTCGCCTAGATAGGGTCGGCATAAAATGTGAAACATTATGTTAATGGTATTGGAAAGGAGCTAACGACCGCCGCA